AGCTCTCGGCGCCCACAGGCCACCTGCATCCGCCCTGCCGCTTCCTGCTCTCAGCCCTGTGTCTGCCCACATGGCCCGTGCCCAGCGCCGCCAGAGCCCTGCCATTCTGGGACTCGGCCAAGCGCCAGGAGCCGTGCTTGCTGCTGCACCCTTTCCGCTGTGTGCCCCAGGGGCCGAGACCGGGATGGCCTGGGCACTGCCCTACAGCATCCAGAGCCAGGCCCTGCCTCTGCTGGGCTGGGGGGCTGCATTTCGGGGGCACGCAAGGCTGGACTGAGCTGCTGCCAAAGGGACCCGAAGGCTGGGCCCCCTTCTGGAGCAGCTCCCCGTGGGAGCCCAGAGGTCTGCCTGGGTCATTCTCCTGTTCCATGAGGGCCTTTCCTGCTGCCCCCACTGGCTCCCCAGCCGCCTCATCTGAGAGGCGAGAGAAAGGCCCTGGGTTCAAAGATCTATTCCTCCTCCTGCTAGCACCCGGAGCCCGGCTGCAGCATGTTTGTGACACTCGCCACAATTTACTGGCTGGGCTGTAAAGACAGGGCCCTGTGGAGCTACGCACTAAGAACAGCCACCAAGGTCCATCTAGCCCAGGATCCTGTTTGCCAACAGGTGCCCCAGAGGGAGGGAACACAACAGGGAATCCTCACGTGCTCCCTCCCGTCAGCCACCTCCAGAGAAACAGAGGCCAGAGACACCATCCCTACTTGTCCTGGCTAATAGCCATCGATGGACCTAACCTCCAGGAATCTATCTAGCTCTTTTTGGAACCCTGTTAAAGTCCTAACCGTCACACCATCCCCTGGCGAGGAGTTCCACAGGTTGACTGTGCCCTAAGTGAAGGAAAACTTCCTTTTGTTTGTTTTAAACCTGCTGCCTGTTCATTTCATTTGGTGACCCCTAGTTCTTATTCTGGGAATAAGTAAATAACTTTTCCCTATTCACGTTTTCCACACCAGCCATGATTCTATAGACCTCTGTCCTACTCCCAGCCCCACCCCCAGTCTCCTCTTTTCTAAGCTGAAAAGTCCCAGTCTTTTGAATCTCTCTTCATATGGGACCCGTTCCAAACCCCTCACCATTTTTGTTGCCCTTTTCTGAACCTTTTCCAAGGCCAAGAGATCTGATTTGCGATGAGGTGACCACATCTGTACACAGGATTCCAGATGTGGGCATCCCATGGATTTATACAGAGGCACTAAGATATTCTCTGTCTTATTCTCTGTCCCTCTTTTAATGATTCCGAACATTTGCTGTTTTGCCTGCCGCTGCACACGGAGTGGATGTTTGCAGAGGACTCTCCACAATGACACCAAGGTCTCTCTCTTGAGTAGTTGTAGCCTAATTAGTCCCCATCACATTGTAGGTAGAGCTGGGATTATTCTTTCCAATGAGCATTGCTTTGCATTTATCAACATTACATTTCATTTGCCATTTTGTTACCCAATCACTGAGTTTGGTGAGATCCTTTTGAAGCTCTTCACATTCTGCTTTGGTCTGAACTATTTTGAGCAGTTTGGTACCATCTGCAAATTTTGCCAATTCCCTGTTTACCCCTTTCTGCAGATCATTTATAAATAAGTTGACTAGGATGGGTCCCAGGACAGACAATGGGGACCCCACTACTTACCTCTCTCCACTCTGAAAACTGACCATTTATTCGTACCCTTTGTGTCCTGCCTTTGAACCAGTTCTCAGTCCTCAAAAGGACCTTCCCTCTTATCCCATCACCACTTACTTTACTTAAGAGCCTTTGGTGAGGGACCTTTGTGGTGGCGTATCAGGGTCCCCCCGCTTCCTGCACCCCGTAGTGGCATAAACAGACTCCACCGGCCAGTAGAACAGAGGGAGTTTATGGCTTCTCCAGGATACAGCACAGCACAGATGGAATCTGGTTCCAGGGCCTAGGATGCCTCAGCCCCCCTTGAAATGGGGGAGCCTGGGCCCCTAAAGCCCAGCCCCTTGCTCAGGCTGCTTCCTCCAGGATACCAGCCAGAAACTCAAACTCTCCTCCAGCCCTGCCCCCAGCCAGGTGCTGGTCTCCCCCCCTCCCTTTGTCTCTCCCTGGGGGGCTGAGCCCGGGTGTGGAGAGTCAGTGAGAATCTCCCATCCCAGCGCAGGGGGACCCGGGTCACAGAGCAGACACCCCCCCACTACGCCACAGCCTTGTCAAAGGCTTTCTGGAAATCTAAGTACACTATATCTACAGGATCCCCCTTGTCCACCTGCTTGTTGAGCTCCTCGTAGAACTCTAGTGGATTAGTAAGGCAGGATTTCCCTTTACAGACACCATATTGGTTTTCCCCCAACAAATGATGTTCATCCATGTGTCTGACAATTTTATTCTTTACTATAGTTTCAACTAATTTGCCTGGCACTGACATTAGACTTACCGGCCAATGATTGCCAGGATCACCTCTAGAGCCCTTTTTAAGTATAGGCAACACATTAGCTGTCTTCCAGTCATTAGGTACAGAAGCTGATTGAAAGGACAGGTTACAAACCACAGTTAATAATTCCACAATTTCCCACTGGAGTTCTTTCAGATCTCTCGGGTGGCTGCCATCTGGCCCCAGTGACTTGTCACTGTTCAGTTTATCAAATTGTTCCAAAACCTCCTCTACTGACACCTCAGTGTGAGACAATTCCTCAGACTTGTCACCTAAAAAGAATGGCTCAGGTTTGGGAATCTCCCCAATTCATTCAGCTTCTCTGCTAGGACTTTATCATCTTTGAGTGCTCTCTTTAGCATCTTCATCATTCAAGGGCCCCTTCCTGCTTCTGATGTACAAACCCAGGCTAAAACGACAGCTGAGTCCCAGACAAGAGCCCACAAGAGCCCACAGTGGCTGCAGGATGCGGCTTGCTTTGCAGATGTTTGCTTTCTGCATCACCACTGCCCATGGCACAGAGGGGAAACTGAGGCACCCAGGCCGGATCAAGTGACTTGCCCAAGAAATCTGTGGCAGAACGGGGACCTAAGCCAGGGTTTCCCAAATCCCCGGCTGCTGCTCTAACCACTGGGCTTCCTTTCCCCTCCCTCTGCCTGCTTTGGAAAGCATTCGGCCTGGAAGCATCGTTCTGCCTTGGGTGGGTGAATCTTTTTTTTTTTCTTCCAAATTTCCCGCTCACCGTGTTGGGTTATTTCTGATGAAAAGCTTCCGGCGTCAGAGCGCGGAAGATTACCAGGCTGGAAGGCCCGTGGCAGCAGGGAACTGTTGACATTGTTCAATGATTCATTCCGACTAACCTAATTAACGTGTTTCATTCCGGAGGGGGAGGGGCTCCCTCCTGGTTCAGGCACACCCCTCAGGTCCTGGCTCCCGGAGCTGCAGCTCCCCCCCACCCAAGCAGGTGGGGTGAAGAATGCGGCTTTCCCACTGGGGCATCTCTCTGGGGCGGGCGCTCTGCTCCATCCTTTCGAAGGCAGTTTGCCTCCACTCCCCGGCCCGAACTGGGTTATCGCTCCGACCTGCACCCCACACCTGGGGATGGGCAGCATGTGATCCAGGGCTCCCTGCAAGCTGGGCGCTTGGGCAGCCACCCTGGAGAGAGTCAGATGCTGCCCAGAGCACCCACAGCCACTCTCAGCTGGCAGCATGTGCTTCTACTGGTGGTGCACATCTGCACAAGCCTTGGTGCACAGAACAAAATTTATACCACACACAGATGGAAAAATAATTAGCGGCAACACTGGTGTGAATCCCCCTTTGGGGAGGTTAGTGTCCCAGTCTCACTCC